CTACAGCATGTAAAAATATAATATAAGCTCTGGCGGACTTGGTTCTATGGTAGGTCTTAAAGGGTTAATGTACACACAGCACCCCATATTGACAGAAAAACACAGAATTGTTGACATTTTTTGCAGATTTGGAGGAGGTAGAGCAGGTCATCTGCTAATCTGAAGGTTGGTGGTTGGATTTGCATGTAAGATTGAAAGCACATCCATAGAAAAAACATTCTGTGAATTAAGCCCTTTCAGTACTCAGAGTAGAAAATTGCTAAGAACCATTTACCTGTGATATCAGTTACACAGTTTCAAATTTATACATACATTCTGTTGTGCTTATCTTTTGTTGTTAAAGTTTTCAGTGCTGTTGCAGTTTGCATAATAAATGTGCTCAATAATGAAACAGATGTTGATTTAAAAGTAGTTTCACACACACGTGCATAGAAATCACTCTTGGGGCTCCCTGGTGGTCACACCAGTTGCAAAAAGACAAGAATTTTGTGCGTTAGTATACAATGGCAAAATGGTTGAATCAGAAGGAATACAGTAAAAAAAGTAAAAAAAATACAACTTTTCTTCAAAATAAAATGCTGACATTACAGGATGCATGGTTTTATACTACAAAAGTATTACAAGGGAGAATAAAAAAAATGTGGTTTCAGTAGAAGTGAATGGGGCATTTTTGTGTCTAAAGACACTACACAAAAAGTAATAATGCAATCAAATCAATGTTGTTGCTGTTCTTTGACATGCCCAAGAATCTAATCACCCCAATGTCCCATCCTCATCCTATTTATTATATGGAAAATTATTTTTTGTGAGTTTGTTTGAATAAATAATTAATACATCAGATGTCTAAGCTGTCATTTAAAGGCTTAAAATCCTAAAAACAATTTAATGTTTTATAATTTTGAAAAGCGCTCAATTTGATTAAGTGATTAATCAGCAGAGTATGGATGACATCTAGTTCAAAAATGTGAATAAAAAGACAATTTCCTTCAAAATGTCACAATCTATAACACAGCCAACATGATTGCCAAATAAATAAAAGTCCTGAGAAGGGCATGTGGGTTTTCACAGTGTAGTAAACAGTAGTAGCTGCTGCTATATCTTCCTTTGAAAGCAGAAAAGTGAGCTCTCTCGTTTTGATTGACAGAGTACGGAACAAACCTGTTGAGCTTAAAGCTTAAAATCAACCAAACACCTCCAAACATACAGGGTTTTTTCTGATGAGGAAACTGTCTCTGCCCCCAAACAGCTGAAAAGTCGTGTTAACTGATGATTGTCACACTTCAACACTTTAATCTCAGTAAATTCAGCAAACATACTTCATCTTCAGTCGTTTCAGACAGCTGGGCTCCTGAGTTTGTATCAAGTAGTCATTTTCAAAGAAGAAACTGAAATTATTCATGTGAGTTTACTCCGCCCACTCTGTAAACAGCAGACCAATCAGCACCAGAATGTGGCATCAACAGAAAGAAAATCTGAGAAACCTGCTGTAGTCAGTCAGCTCTGTGCTTTATCTCTTTTGGGCAAATAAATTAAAGAAAAGCACAAAGGCTCAGCCAAGGCTGGAGGTGACTCATCAAAGACTCACCAGGAACACAGATCAGCTTAGACTATGATCTTTTAGTTTAAAATTAACTTGCTCAGTATCAGTGTAACTTAAGCACATGACTAAAATTGAAAGCTCAGAGTTTCTTTTAAGTCACCTTGATGAGACAAAGTCCTGCTTTAAGTGCAGGTCTCTGCACGACTCCAAGAACAGTTCTTTA